AAAAACATTATCTTTATTCGTACGTTTGCTCTTTTAAAGTATTTAATTTTTTTAAATATAATATGATCATTTTAAAATAATTGTAATATTTTGTATACTCATAATTTGCAGAAAAATTAAAAATAAATCGTACAATAGCAAAAAAATTTAAATATGAAAAAAATGTTTTTTTAATTAAAGTTTGATTAGGTCAATCCACTCGACCAGTGACCACTCTAATATTAAAACTAACAATACAAAGTTGGTGTTGTGCTGAACAATAATTTGCTATTTTTCGCGTTTCTTGGAGAAAGAAAACCGATTGTGTGCTGACACAAAATAGGTATATATTTAATTTTTGAATTATATGAATGAAATAATTTGAACTTGTTTAAAGACACCTAGCGAATACGGGAAAATAATCGACATAAACGTAGCATATCCCAGGAGGAATTTCTCGATTATCAGTGATATAGAGACGGATACTAAATATTTGATGTCTCAGATGACACTAATACAGCATAGACCTTTGCCGGACGATAAATACGTACTCGGATATAGAATTGATTGGAGAAAACTTGAGTCTAAAGTCAATAGACATCGTATAGCTGTGTTGTTGTTCCACCCTTCATTTCAAAAAGTAAGTAATTCGACCATAAGACGTCTAGAGTAAATAAACTTAGAATTGTAGTAAGTAGGTAGTCAGTCTTGTTTGAGTACAAGATAAATTATTTTATCTATAAAACTATTTAGCTTCTACGAATTTCTTTAAAAGAGTTTAGATCTCAAGATGTTTGTTATCTCCTTATAAAAATACAATTTCAGTTGTCTGGTGTTAAGTTAAATATATTCATATATTGTTATTGATAATTTAAATTTCTCAAATTTCTCAAATTCACTAGTTTTGTCTGGTAAACTTGTCAACTAGTTAACTGTTCATACATCTGATTAGCAAATATTAGTGGTGTGGAGACAGTTTTAAACCAATTGGTAGGTAATATAATTGAGTTTAAATTCATAAATTGTATACTATATATATATACGAGTAGGTACTCAATGATGGATAGTATATTAATTTATATGGGCTTTTTCTTTTATATTTTTCTTTTGAATAAGAAAGAGATCAAAGTTACCAACGTTATATTCGAATCAGAAAAATGACTTATTATAAATAACACACAAATTTGTTTCTAGAATATGTAGTGTGCTCCGTTTGACGAATAATATAACATAATTATTAATTGCTGTGTTATAGTAAGGCAGTTAGTAGCTATATGCAACATATTTTACTATAATTATAAAGAGTAAATAAATGCCCATCTCACTTAAATCTATTTCTTTTGAGCATTTTAATTTCAACGAAGTATACAACTATTTTATATATTTAATATTTTAAAACACTCGATATCTGTTTTTCAGAATTGAATTTCATGATAATTGTTTGATTTTGCAATTATTTTAATATTTAATCCAATGAATTTAACCTACGTATAGCTTTAATTCCAACTGTATTTATCATATGTTTCAGAACGTTACAATTAAAGGAAACTATTCACGTGGTAACTCGATACTCTTCGATCTAAATGCTGAATACGATTATGCATTGGATTCAAGACGAAAGTTTACCATAGGTTGCTTGATTGAAAACAATTCTGTCAAGTCTAAACGAAACTACTTTTTATCCCTTAAAGGAAGACATTTAATTACCAGGTAATTATTAATTATTATCAGTTATGTGAATGACTTTATGAACGACGAGAAGTAAGATCTTCATAACTGTTCCAATTAAAATATTGATATGAATCAAATATTGTTAGACGAAATCACAGACAACAATATGTACTCATAAATGGTTYATTAAAACAAAAAAGATTATGAACAACAATAAACATCATTATTCCTAAAGCATAAAAATTGTTTTTAGATTTAAATTGGACGCTGCTGGTACTTTTAAATCACAAGAATTCTTTCATTACTTCCACAACAATATTACTTATAAACGGGCATACTTACCAGATCAGTATTGGGATGGTAAAGGTGTATTAGATTTTTTTAACAAAACTATACTAATCGAGGTTAATATTTTCAATTATAAATTATTACTATAAAAAAGAAAAACTAACATTAATGATATTGTGAATTAGAAATATTCAATTCACGATACCACTTTTATCTACGGGAATTACAGTAATTTTCAAGGAACTCATTATGTGAATGGACTGATACGAAGAGGAGATGATCAAAATATTGTTGGAACATTTTACATCAAT